ACTATTCTAAGTGGGTTTTTTCGTCTCTTTGAAGCAGGGTCTCCCTGTAGCCCCAGCTGTCCTGGAACTCACTATGTAGACCAGGCTGGCCTTGAACTCACAGAGATCCGCCTGCCTCTGCCTCCCAAGTGCTGGGACTACAGGCATGCGCCACCATGCCCGGCTATTTTAAGTATTTTATTTGTTAGTTTAATCTTATGTGTTTGACTGTAATGCCTACATGTATGTAAATGCGCCCATGTTGTGCAATGCCCACGGAGGTCAGAAGAGGTTGTTGGATCCCCTGGAACTGGAGTTACAGGCAATTGTTAAACACCATGTAGGTGCTGGGTGCTGGGAATCCAACTGGGTCCTCTGGAAGAACAACTTGTGCTCTTAATTTCTGAGTCACCTCACTAGTCCCCCAAATAACTATGCTTTTAATAATGTGACCAATACTTGTTCATTCTGAATCACTATAAAGTACATATTATTTTACATTTTAATTATATATTTATTTTATGTGTGTATATGTGTGTATGGGTGTGCATGTGCCATAGTGTGTGTGTGTAGGTCAGAGGACAACTTTCAGGAGTTTGCTCTCTCTTTACACCATGTGGGTCCCAGGGATTGAACTCAGGTCATTAGATTTGGTGGCAAATGCCTTTACTCACTGAGCCATTTCATCTGCCTCCAGACTTTTTTAAATGAACCTTAAAAAATTATTATTATTATTATTATTATTATTATTATGTGTGTGTGGGATGTGTGGACACACATGCCATGGTATATGTATGGATGTCAGAGGACAACTTTGTGGCATCAATTCTATTTTTACATAGGTCCTGGATCACCAGGCTTACATGGAAATCACCTTTATTTGCTGAGCCATCTTGCTGACCAGATTTTTAAAATTTTATTTTATGTGTATGAGTGTTTTGGTTTTATGCATGTAAATGCATCCATGTCATGCGGTGCCCACGGAGGCCAGAAGGGGGTATTTGATCCCCTCCCTCAGAACTAGAGTTACAGACAGTTGTTAGCTGTGGTGGGTCATATGGGTGCTGGGAACCGAATTTATCTCCTCTGCAAGAGCAGCCAGTGGTCTTACCTGCTGAGCCATCTCTCCAGCCCCATTTTATTTTATTTATTTATTTATTTTAGACAGAGTCTCATGTAGCCCAGTTTGGCTCTGAACCTAATGTTCAGAGGATGACTTTGAACTCTTGATCCCAAGTGCTGGGATTACAGGAGTGTGCCACCATGTCCAGTTAAAATGATAAACAAGGTCTCCTTATAGCAGTCCTCACTGGTCTGGAGCTTGCTATGTAGACCAGGCTGGCTTCAGTCTCACAGAGATCTACTTACCTCTGCCTCCTGAGTGCTGAGATTAAAGATGTGTACCACCATGCTCAGTACAATGATTTTTTTAATATTTATTTTTAAGTTTATATGTGTGTGCCTGCATAGAGTGTATGTGTGCCACATGCATGAAGAAGTCCGAGGAGACAAGAAGAGGGTGTTGGATACCCTGGAACTAGAGTTAAAGATGGTTGTGAGCTGCCATGTGGATGCTGGGAACCAAACCTGTGTCCTCTGCAAGAGCAGCAGTAAGCATTGTTAATCACTGAGCCATCTCTCCAGCCCTCAAAATGATTTCTTTAAAGCAAAGATTTACACAGTCACTGGTGATTCCATGACCTAGAAACAAGCTCTCTTAGCACTTGGTCATTCCCTTCCGGTCATAGGTGTGTGTGCCACAAGAGACATGTGCAACAGTGCCAAGACCGGCTGTAGCTCAGCCTTTCTTTCTGGTCTTCTTTTGTGGTGCTGGGAATTGAACGCAGGGCCTTCTGTATGCTAGGCAAGTGCTCTACCACTGAGCTACAGCCCTGGTCCCCTCTGGATTTTTATTTCTTGTTTTATGTGTGTATGAGTATTTTGCCTGCATATATGTAAGTGCACCTGTGCATGCAATACCTGCAGAGGTCAGAAGAGGGCATCAGATCCTCTGGAACTGAAGTTGAGATGGTTGTTAGCCACCATGTGGGTACTGGGAGTGGATCCAACATCATTGCTCTTAATCACTGAGCCATCTCACCAGCCCCCTCTCTTCTTTTTTTAATTTATTATTTTTATTTTATGTATAAGAGTGTATTGCCTCCATGGGTGTAAGTGAACTCAAATCGTGTAATGCCCCATGTGGGTACTGGGAGTGGATCCAACATCATTGCTCTTAATCACTGAGCCATCTCACCAGCCCCCTCTCTTCTTTTTTTAATTTATTATTTTTATTTTATGTATAAGAGTGTATTGCCTCCATGGGTGTAAGTGAACTCAAATCGTGTAATGCCCATGGAGGTCAGAAGAGGGTGTTGGATCCCCTGGAGCTGGAGTCACAAATGGTTGGTAGCCACCATGAAGGTTTCTTTTTTTTTTTAAACTTTTTTTGGTCTTTTTGAGACAGGGTCTCCCTGTAGCCCCAGCTGGCCTGGAACTCACTATGTAGACCAGGCTGGCTCACAGAAATCTGCCTGCCTCTGCCTCCTGAGTGCTGGGATTAATGGCGTGGGCCACCATGAGGTTTTTAAAAGAGCATCCTCAGCTCTGGTCCCTTTGGACCCATTTGCTTAGAACAATGAACAAAACTGCTTGGAATTAGCCAGGAGAAAGCTACCTGTGGTTTTTATGATAGGAAGGATAAACATTGCTCCTGGGAAGAAAGGCCAGCTCACATGGCCCCTGCCCATCTGTTCTGAAAATCTGTCCTTCAGCCATGACATGGCTGTTGCTGTCTTGGAATCAGAACAGTTGTGATTAGCCACACAAGACCCTCACAAGGTCAGGTCAACTAACATTACCTTGTGAAAATGAGGGAGGGCTCACTAGTCACAGGAAGGGCTTATTAGGCAGTCACAACCATTTCATGCAACCAGTCCTAGCTGCAAGAGAGGCTGGAAAAAGAATTTTCTTGCTCTATATTAGGCACAGGCCTGGGAGCAGGAAGTTGAGGATGGGGTTGAATAGATCTGGTTAGGAATTGTTTTGCTTTGGTTTGGTTTTTTGACACAGAGTCTCATGGCCTTGAATTGGCTGTGAACTCATTATGTAATCAAGGGTGACCTTGAACTTCTGATCCTTTTACCTCCACCTCCCAAGTGCTGGAGTTACAGAAGTCCATAATCATGCCTGACTGCTTTTTGTTTTTATTTGTCTTTTATTTTTCCCCCTCTGAACCTTGGAGGGGTAATACAGATGTCTGATGGTTTTCTTCCATTTATGACAAAGCACTGAGCCACTATATCAAAGCTACAGTCCCTTAATATCACCAGCTAGACCAGTCATGAATCTCTGCAGCAATCATCACTGACTGCAAAAAGCTTTCCTCAAGGGGCTGGAGAGATGGCTCAGTGGTTAAGAGCACTGGCTGATCCTACAGAGGACCTAGGTTCAGTTCCCAGCACCTATATGACAGCTAACAACCATCCTTAACTCCAGTCCTAGGGGATCTGATGCCCTCTTCTGTCTGCCATGGGTATTGCATGCATGTGGTGCACTTACATACATGCAGGCAAAATAGTCATACACATAAAAATGAAGAAAAATAATAAAAGCTTTCCTCAAAAGCCAAGGCCAACAACTTGCCACCTGGGATTTTCTCCAAGAACCCTCATGCTCAGATGGCTCAGTTTTGGTTTTATTTTCATGTCACCCATAGCAACGGACATGAAATTGCCACCTTAGCAGGTATACCATCCCAGACCCCATGGGGAAAGGTAGACATTTCAGGATTTCCCTGCAGCATAGTCTACCGTCAGATGGACCAGCCTCAGTTGCCTACCTTATCACCAACAGCAGAGGCCACACAACAACTCCAGCTCATACTTGGCTCCATGGGTCCGTGCTTGAGCACCAACTGTGTGGCATGATTTCCTGGGGAGAAGTGAATGAACATCTATTTGCCCCAGATCATGCACCGATGACAAACCAAAGAAATGATTCTGTCCCAGTCTAGCTTGGTGACCCAATGAGTTTATTGGGTTTACTTACAGGAGCATAAGTAACACTGGGGCAGCTATACCACTGAAAAGCCCCACCATGGGTAATGACTCCCTTTTACAAAAGCCTAATCCCTGGAGTTTCCTCAGCAACTTGCAGGCAGTGCCAGTCAAGACCTCTCTGTCATAGCAATTTTTCACTGCTCATATGACCTTTAGGAGGGACCTCGAGTTGTTTCTTGGGAGTTTTGGTAATTTTCTTGTGAGTTGCATGAGTCTCCTGCTTTTCCTCCCGGAATCACTGTTTCAGTTCAGAGGGAGCAACTATACAACATGGGACTTGTATGTGTGTGAGTGTGGTGTATGTGTGTGTGTGTGTGTGTGTGTGTGTGTGTGTGTGTGCACATGTTTCTGGCCATGGTTCTTTCTAGCTGCTCAGGACACTTCCTGGAAGCTCACAAAGTCTGAAACTACACAGATGATCTCGTATGATTGGATCCCACTCAGTTGAGATGGACAAGTGCAGAATCAGCCTTGATAACTGTACACAGCAGCCCCATTAAGATTCCCACAGCAGCCTCGCTCTGCAAGAGAAACCAGACATATCTTATATATATCCCATGTTGAAGGCAGGATTGCAGAACACTGTAGATGAATCAGGCCAAGAAGGGGTCATAGGATCAGAGCTGGCTGGCCACCCACTGGATCTTGGTAAGAAGGGATTAGGAGACTGCAAACTGAGTAAGAAAATCCTCTCCCCTACAGCTCAAGGCTGTAATCCTGGGACCATACTTCTCTAAGCTTATTCTGTTTCCAAACCTTGCAGTCTCCACTGGCTACAAGGATTTGGGTGGGGACTTTTTAAACTCCAGTCTTCTGACATCTCCTGGTTTGGCTGTGGGCCACCATCTCCTCTCCATGGTTGCCGATACCAAATCTGATGCATCGAATCATCTTTATTTAGACCCGGAGGTCTCAGGCTTGTGAGAGGGGAGCCTGAGTTTCAGAAGGTTAAGCCTTCTGAAGGCCCACCAGGCCTTAAGCAGGGAGCAGTAGGGAACTGGACCTGTCCATCCAGGGCGTCAGCCTCCTGCAGGTCTGGGCCATGGGTAACGTAGTGGAGGGCAAGTCGGTGGAGGAACTGAGCAGCACTGAGTGCCACCAGTGGTACAAGAAGTTCATGACTGAGTGCCCCTCTGGCCAGCTCACACTCTATGAGTTTCGCCAGTTCTTTGGCCTCAAGAATCTGAGTCCCTCGGCCAGCCAGTATGTGGAACAGATGTTTGAGACCTTTGACTTCAACAAGGTAGGCAGGGGCCAGGAGGGAAGGCAAGGAGTGGGGGCTGATTCCCAGGGGATGCCTGTGGAAGCCTGCATAGCCTGGGAATGAGGACATGCAGACAGAGCAGAAGCATCCACTGGAAGACTTCATGCACTTTTGATTGATTATTATTTTAATATTTTACTTATTTTATGTCCACCTGTGTTTGTGCAATGCCAGAGGAGGTCAGAAGAGGGCATTGGCTCTCTTGGAACTGGAGTTATGAATGGCTGTTAGCCGCCATGTGGGTGCTGGGAACCAAACTCAGGTCCTCTGCAAGAGCAGCCAGTCCTCTTAACCACTGAGCCATCTCTCCTCTGGCCCCTTGATTTATTATTTTTGAGACAAGGTCTTACTATGGAACCAAGGCTGGTTTTCAACCCTTGGTGATCCTCCTACCTCAGCCTCCTAGATGTTCTGTGGGTATGAGGACTGGGGACAGGTACAGTTGTCCGATCACTGGGACCTAGATACTCCCAACTACAAAGTTTCCGGTGACCTAAGCTCGCCTTTTCCCCAAGTGAGTTTGAAGGTGCTGATGGAGATCAAGTCTTTTCTGTAGCTGCCTGGATGCATGGGGTGAGACTTTTGGAGACACTAGAGGGACACAGAAGGGCCGCCTCTTTCTTTCTTTCTTTCTTTCTTTCTTTCTTTCTTTCTTTCTTTCTTTCTTTCTTTCTTTCTTTCCTTCCTTCCTTTCTTTCTTTCCTTCCTTCCTTCTTTCTTTCTCGTCCTTCCTTCCTTCCTTCCTTCCTTCCTTCCTTCCTTCCTTCCTTCC